CGGCCGTCGGGTTGGTGTGCAGAGGCCTTAACAGTAACCTAATGTTGAAGCAAAATTGTTCTTATGTTGTACTTGTGTTTTTCCACCAGGGAGGGCGCTACTCTTTGAAAGCCCAGAACTTGCTCGGGCCGGACGGCATTGTCTGGTTCTCCTGGAAGGAATCAGACTTCTACTCTCTGAAGGCGGTCACCATGATGATACGGCCACGCCACTTCAGACCACGCTTGTCGCCATAGTGATGGAGGCTTTTTTATTGAGCAACAAATAGAAAAGTCTGAGGGCCTGCTAATAACTGCCTCTAGGGGCTGCCAGAAATACTCACTAAAGCACCAACTATGTATGTATCTGCTGCTTAATCCTCAAAGTAGCATTTGTGAAAAACTACAGTGGTCAGTTGTTATATGAGTCTTTTTTAAATAAAAAAAATATGTTTGTGAGACATTTTTTAAGATTTATGCCTTAAGTGGGAACCAAGTCCAAGTCAGAAAGTACTGAGACAGACTAACATTGCTGCTTCGAATATAAGGCAAAGACTTTTCACAAGTTAAACTGGCCAATCAGTAGTGCATTATCCCCATTTCCATTTTTTATGCTAAGCTAACTGCTGGGCTGTACCTTAACTTTTAATGGACTAATAACTTCTAACTCAAGAATAAGAATAAGTATGTTTCCCAAAATGTCAAAGTTTTCTTTTAATATCATAGCAGCCACTGAAGATCAGCCGACATTAGCTTTTTAGCTGGCAGTGATTTCCTTTAGCTAAAGGCTACATGATGCTTTATGTACGCATGCCAACACAATGGATCTCACACACTTTTTGCCACGCATTTGAAAAGAGGACATATCTGGAGGTGTAAAATGTTCTGACCAAATGAAATTAAAACTCATTCTTTTTCATTCAACTGTTCATGCTTTACCTCCTCATCATACCCACTGCAGATGTCTTCAGTTGCACACAAACAATTTTCATTACACATTTATTTATTGGAACAGTTACAGGTATTAAGTTTTACATCTACAGGACGTCCCCACGTCACCGACCTCCTTAAACTCAAAATCTGTAGTTGTGAAGGTGTGAATTCAGGCAGGTTGTTTTCTCAGTCATTCATAGGTGAACCTCCTCAGAAATGACCAATAAAACATTCTTTACAGACACGATGGTTCAATAAGAGGTCGGCCAGTCTTCGTGCTGCTGTTGGGTGGTGGGGATAGTTTGCCCTCAGACTGCGGGGCTGACCGACGCCAGGAGGCGGAGGGTGTTTACGGGCGCTCCCTGGGGCGGGTGACGTAATGCCACCACAGAGGGGGGAGTTCGCCCTCTTGGCGAGCAGGAGGGAGGGTTTCGGTCTTTGGGCCGCCTTCTTTAGTCTCAGCCTGCAGCTGGGCGACCTGGAACCAGACAGGAGAGGGAAAGAGTTAAACACACGGGCAGCAACAATTATTTTCATTATCATTCGGGTCTTTCGTCTATGAAACTTGAATTTCCCTGGGGATAATTAAATTATCCATCTATCTAAATGTCAGAGAGCTGTGAAAAGGTTCAATCACAATTTCTCAGAGCTAAAGGGGAACACTTAACATTGTTCATTCTGTCTGATCCACAGTCCAAAAGCCAAAGATATTAAATGAGTGATATAAAACAGAGAGAAGCAGAAAATCGGCACATTTGAGAAGCTGGAGTCAGCAAATATCTGCCAATGTTTTTAATTACTCGAATAAAATGACAAACTAATTATTATCACACTGTGAATATTTGAATACTTTCACATTATTTTAATTTCAAATATATTTTCAATGAGAAAATGTTTTATCTTTAACCTTGACACAAAGAGAGGCTGTGACATGCTGACTCGAGCGCCACCTGGTGGAAATAACCGATATAACAGCTTGCTGCTGACTAAACAGCAGTTTGAACAATGAAGCTAAAATAATAACTTAATGTAGTTAAAATATATCTGTAATTAGGAAAAGTAGAAGGAATAAAAGCCCAGGGTCTCTACAAGGTCACAAGGATAAAGTACATGTGCATATACATTGTCAAAGGTAAGTTGCTCCCATTCACACCAACAATTAACACCCTCCTTTCTCCTTTACTGTTAGAAGTGTGGGCAGTACTGTAATGTATGGAGAATATAGCACAGTGACGAGGTGATCCGTGGTACGTAAAAGGTCTGGACAGACAGGATGATGCCCACCTCTTTGTCCCAGCTGAGCGCTCTCAGTTTCTTCCACTGTTCCCTCTTGGAGAAGTAGTCGGGATACATGGCCTTCTCTGAGGGGTGCCAGTGGTCCAGCAGCCACTCTGGGGCCTACAGCAAACAAAGCAGAGCTCAGGACTGACATCATTACGACGGTCACCATTTTCACATCCTGTTTTTTGATTAAAAGTCCATATAATCATTCTGAATTAGGTAAAAAAAAAAAAGGCTGTCTTAGAGTCTTACAGTAATGTTGATACAGTCTAATTTCACTTCCCTCACATCTCCAGCAGAGGGCAGTAACACTAAGAGCACACACACTCTCAGTATCCTGCACATCAGCGGCTGTCACTGATTTTTGATTAATAGTTTGATCAAAACATCGCTCAGCTTTATGCAACAGTAGAAATATAAACATAACTGTATTAAATGGGAAGAGAAAGGCATTGGAAGTCTATTTTTTATCATTTGTGTTATTCTGTGTCACAACCTGTGCAACAACTCCAGAGCTATATAAACTTTTTCCTTCTGCAGTAACATGAGAGAACAGACTGGGAGATGATTTCCCGCCGGCCTGCCTCACCTTGTAGCACTCGTATCTCTCGTAGGAGGTCCCTCCAGGAGAGTCGGGGAAGACGATGGGCTCAGAGTGTTGGAACTCCCAGAACTCCTCCTCTCCCGCCTTCAGCATCATGGTGGCCTTCACCATGTCCTTCTCAGTCTTGTTCTCATCGAAGCGAGCCCGCAGAACGCAGGCGTGGAAGCGGAATTTGTCTCTGGAACGGGAAAACGCCACAGCACTCAAACATCTGAAATCAGCGTTTCTCTTACAGCACAGCGACGTCGTCAGGCTGTCCAGTGACGGGCGGGAAATACAGCCTCACACACACAGTTGAAGCAGGAGGCGGGTTTATTCCTTCAAACGGAAGATCGTTCATGTTTGACTGTTGTCTAACAAACAGCGTTTATTCCTCTACTGCAGTGTTCCTTAGTCTGCACTGTAACATTAAGATGTTTGATTCTTCTTCAACTCTTATGGAGACAAATGAAAACAGCAACAAGACTTTTCACTGGCACAAGAAAGCCAAAGATCTGTTGGCATTGGTTTATAAAGACTGCATTGTTTGGTTATCAGAGAGCTGGGAGAAGTTTACTTTTCAACTCTGAAACACCTACAGAAACTTTTTAAACTTTAAAATATGAAGAATAGCCCAAACGTCTATTAGTTAGTATGGTTCAGGGTCTAACTGAATTCTAAACACAGTTATTTTTATGTGATTTTATGTGACGTGCAGTCGTATATTGAGTGGTTTACTTCACTGATTGTCAACTGTTAGATGTATCAGAAACAGATGCATTAATTACACAATCAATCTCTATATCTAGTGTAATTATTTAGTTCAACATGTGGAGCAGAATTCAAACTGTGGCCTCGATGAGACTTTATTGATTTCGATTATCAGGCTGTCAATAAGACCTTCACTTTACTGAGCTTACAAAACACTAGACAATGTAAAATAAACAATAAGCTCTTAACTAAATATAGAAAGCAGAGATAAGAATAAAAGTAAAATCAAATAACTGTAGAGAAGTGTACAGAGGATAAAAACAGATGTAATGATACATATAAAGGCCACAGCAGCACAGTGTTTGCAGTGAGTTAATGACCCTTTAAACTCCTTCACAAATGAACATTTCTGCTTTTATTATTCACATTTATTAGATTAAACGTGACTGCTTCATTCACTGTGATCAACTTATCTTCAACCAATCAGATGTTTAACCCGACAGGACAGCGTCGGCCGCGCATAACCGCTCTAAGGGACTGGATTAATCAACAACAACAACAACAATAATAAAGTCTGTTTACTGCAGAACTGTGCTGCAAGTGACCTGGTTAGCAGTTAGCCTAGCAGCCACAGGTGCACCGCGGCGGCCACCGTACATACGCGTTCAGTGTTTGTACAGACATGAAGGAGCTCCTCTCTAACTCCTCTGTGGCTGCTCTGTAGCTGCTCTCACCTGAACACTCACCTGAACACGCACCAGGACTCCAGGTGTCTCAGGGACTTCTTGTAGAGCCGCAGCACTTTCTGCTGGTGGCTCAGATAGGCGGAGGCCATTTTCACCTTCTCGACCGAGCGGCGCGGAGGATGCTGGGAGTGTGTGGCGTGTGGACGTGAGGACCGTAAAGGCGAAAATAAATGCGCAACGAAACTATTTGGTCGTTTTTTTTCATGTATCCCTGACTGCAGACCCGCAGACCTCAATGTGGGCGGAGTTAAACGTTTAACCCCGCCCACTCAACAGTTGACTCCGCCGTCACCGTGA